GATGAGCAGGACTTGACAAGTCATTTTCATGTAGGGGTTGTTTGAGAGACAACTGGAAGATGACAGACCATTGGGGAAACATTTCAAGGCTTATTTCTGCAGTTCATTCATTCATTTAACATGTATTATTTCATTTCAACTCATTTTACAATTTGAATCATGAATTTGACTTGGTCATATAATTTTTAGAGTTGGAAAAAATTTAGCAATCTCTGGATATAATGTATTATATCAAAGATGAGTAGCCTGAGGACTAAAGTGTGGTGTAGGGGACGGGACTTTGAGATCTGGATGGTCTATATCAACCCCCAATTCAGACAATGATGTGATTATCAACAAATTGCCTAACTTTTCTGAGTTTTGTCATCTCCTGGCTGTAACCATAAGCACAGCCACCCGCAGGTGTAATACATATGCATGTGTTCTCCTACCCCTTACATTCACAATTATAAACCATTCCAGAAGAATGAGAGCCAGCAGATTTCTTAATAATCCTTAAGGAAAAAAGTCCTCCAATCCACTAATGCAAATATATTTTCCCCTATATTTTCCTGCCTCCTTACTAGAAAATTTTTTACTGGGAAAGGCACACTCACTTTGAGTGTTGAGGTAATGTTACAATTTAGCAAAGTGCCATGAACCAAAACTCATAAAATATTGTCAACCCTCTAAAGAGAAAACAAAAATAATCAATGTTCCCCCAATTTGATATAAAAAAGCAACCGATTTCTTATGTTCAAATCAAATATGATGTGTTATTTTCATATCTAACCTCTCTAATTAGCAAAGTTGTAAAATCTAGTTGGTTCTCCTGGTTTTCCTTCTTTTCAACCTGTGATCTGCCATTATTTCTGCCATGTCTTCCTCCCCCTCCAGCACCATCGCCGAGGTTCTGCCTGCGTGTTTTCAAGCCGCCTCTGGCTCTCAAGGGCTTCTCTCTTGGCATCTTTCCTGAGTGACACCTCCCTTCCCAACTTATCTTACGCACTTAGGGCCTGTGGCACTACTAATTCACTTACTCTGTAATTTAAGACTGAATGAATTACTTATGTCAGGATACATTGGCTTTTAGGCCTTAATTAAAAACACAAAATAAAACTTTTTGGTGGCTTGGCTTTCAGATTGTGGGAGATCCCTGGGGGATGGCATAGTATCGCCTGACTTACATTGTGACAGGCCCGTGGACACACCACACGTGACCCCACTGTGCTGCCCCTCAGGGCCTCATGTGCTCTCTGTCTCGACACTATTGGACACAGTCAGGATGTGGCTCCACCCTCCCAGTACAGAGCCAGCAATTCAGAAATAGCCATTAGCCTGCAGGCAGATTTTTAGCATAAATATGAAAATCTTGGAAATGCATTTTATTTTAGGAATGATTAGATCACATTCCTCAGGTAAGAGCATTACTTACCAACAACAGGAAACTATCAAGCCAACTGTAGACTTCAAATGACTCAATGGTTCCCAGCCAGGGCTCCTGGTATTTAGCGTGCACAGCAGTGAATCCGATGTCAGAGACTGCAGGGTGTGACAGTGCAAAGGGGACACTGATCCACTGTAAAAGGAAGCGACATTGGAGCCTTGGGCTGTGGATTGTAACTGTCTGGTGTATGCAAGGTTTATCCACCTCGCAGACTGCAGAGCCTGGTAGTTCTTCTTGTTCTCACAGAGAAGGACCTCAAATCATGTTCTCTTTGGGATAACATTAAATATTGATTTAGAAAAATTAAAATAACGCATTGTCTACTTCTGTGTTTGATTATACCATATCAGATAACCAATAGGAGCACTTATCAGAAACCTCTGGGAATATATCATTTGAGATACAGATAGATATCTATATCTATCTATATCTATCTATCTATATCTATATCTATCTATCTAGATGCATACATACATATATATATACACACACACACACACATGATTTATGTGCTGTGTGAATTAGGGAAAAATATTTATTTATTAAAGTGACAAGCAAAGATCTGATTGAGAAACGTATGAGCGAAACAAACCTTCAAGGGTAGGCCAGTACTAAGAGTTAGAAGAGAAAGGAATTGAAGGGGGAGATGGTCTAGATGGAGCAAGGCAAGGAGTAGAGACATACATGGTGTATGGGCATGTGTGTGGGTGTGTGTACATAAGTGTGTGTGCAGGTGTGTATGAGTGTGCGTAGGTGTGTGGGTGTGGGCTGTGTGTACATAGGTGTGTGGGGTGTGTGTAGGTGTGTGTGGGTGTGTGTGGGT